GAGAGAGAGAGAGAGAGAGAGAGATTATGCATTACACTGTAATCTAATGTCCTCTTCAAATCACTGCAGAATCAATTATTATATCACACGTCTCCAACCGAAAACACTTATATGAGTTACGTACACATTGTCACATACATCAATCGAGTGTCACGCCAACCCGAACTCAGCCTCTGCACATACCTACACATTAATTGGATGTTTTTTCTTTACTTCTCTTGTCGACCGTCTTGCAGGTCGTCCTTCGTCATCCCCTTGCCGCTGTTCATCGACTTTTGCCCTTGCATCGTCATTGTCATCACGCCCCTCCACAACTCCGTCTATCCCTTCATCACTCAACGAAATGCAATTAATCACCGACTTCGACGTGGTTGGTCCCTCGACCTTCCTCGTCTCCTCCTTCTCTGTCTCATCTAGCAGTTTCATCATCTCATCGAAATCATTTTGCACCTCACTTGCACGTTGTGCATACCCACCTTGTTGCATTTCATTTGCAATAGCCCCACTCCCGGAAGGAGTGGGGCTCGCCATCTGCGATGCACACTCGTTTCCCGCCTGCGTTATTAGAGGAGGTCCGTACGATGTAACGTTCGATGCCACTTTGTCGACATTCCGTGGAACCTCGGTCGCCTCCATTATCTTGCTGGCTGTCTGACTCATCGCTTCCCCAACACTCGTTGCAAACTGCGTGTTCGACTCCCCCCCAATCTGTGAGCATCCCAACCGGATTGTCTCAACGCCATGGCCAGCTTGGGGAAGATCGATCTTCCAGTTGATGCTCTTGTATGACCGACTTGACTCCAAGTCAGAGAATCCGTGTTTATATTCCAGTCGGTTTTTGGAGTGAAGACATTCGAATAGCAATCGAGCCTTTTCCTCAATAGCTGCTTCGTCCGCTCCGTCATTTTCTTTCCTAACACGAAATACGATTTCGCTCTTCGCCAATTTCAGCCACGAGGCTTCATCCAGTCTGGCTCTGACTTTCCATCCTTTTGTTAGATGGACTGCCATCATCCACTTCCCCTGTATAATGCATGGCTCGAATAGGTCCATATGCCACAAAATGTGATGCCCCCACTTGTCAGACGTCGTTTCTGGCACCTTGTCTGGAATGAAGTACGGCTGTTCACTGGCCTGCGCAATGCTATCAGGGATATCATCACCAGGCATCAGCTTCGGGAGGGCATTTGGAACCGCAAAGTCTTCCTCGTCATCGTCTGGCCGCATTTCGTTGACATGGTTTCCTCAAGATTGAGCCTTTTCCCGGAACCCTTGACGATTGCCATGAATCAGTACATTCTCAAGTGCTTGAATTGGCGTAAGCGAATCTGTTTGCATGTGTTTAACGCCATGTCGGTCACGCCACGCGTTGGACTGCTCGCACCCGCCGATTTCGTGCGAACTTCTTCTTCCTGGAGGCTTGGCGCGTTGCATGCAGACACGCTTTCCATTCCCTCTCGTATACGTTTCACTCGCTCCTCGATTTCGAGGTCTGAGGTTTCAGTCTCCTCATCGCTCTCGATCGGATTCCACGCATCATATTCTTTGGCAATCTTGMTGTATCCATCGTACGTYAGCATTGCCTGATTTYCTCCGAACTTCATTCGTTCGCATCTTGCTACGAACATCGCAAACGACCCCACTTGCGCTTTATGGTAGCCACTATACGCTTCTTGTGCCATCGCTTTGCGAACTATGTAGTCATGCTCGAATGGCGTCTTGGGTTAGCCTTGGAACTAATATTCCCACATCTTGTTTCTCTTCTTGCCCAGCTTGTGGTACATGTCCCTGTCAGGACGATGCACAGTATTCTGTCTCTAAACGGTGCATTTGTTTCTCGCATCCTTCCCGAGAATTTCGATGACCTTCGTCAAGTATGAAATGTCTTTTGACGACGAGTCGCATGCGAAAACATGATGGCCAGCGCGCAGGAGCTTCGACACAAGTCCGGCGTGCGACTTTCCAATAAGAATCACCCCCTCGTCCTCGTGAAAAAATGAACTGCACAACTTCTGCAACCGTTTAGGATGTCGTTCCCACCGCCCATACACCTCTCGTTCGTTTCCTTCCTCGCCACTGTGCTTTGCTGTGCATCTCTTGAATTGCTCCTCATCAACGTTCAGCTCCACTATCTCTGCCTCCGATTTAGGAGCCCTCGTTACCTTCCTGAGGTTGCCCTCCTCAGCATGCAGGACGACCGCCATCGTGTCCTTATAATCGACTTGCCAGTTTTCATACTTGCTGACAGCTGTTCCGAACGCGAAATAACGCTTCCAAGTGTCGAGTAGCACCTCTGCATCGTCCCAGTTGTAAAGTTGCTTCATGACGGCCTTGTGCTGTTTTTGCGGAGCAAATACAATCAGAATCCAATTATTACCGCACAATTTCGTCATCATTTTGCGCAGAGCATCGAAATCGGCTGGCGTCCATACAAGGCAGTTCTTCGGGTTGGCGAGATCCAGGATGGCCGCCTTGCAATTCAAGTTCGTGGCCGCAGTCACAATTTCGTCGCCTGCAGGCAGCAACTCCTTCGGTTGCATGTTGACCGGTAGCAATGTCGACCATCGTTGTTTCTTCTCCCATCTAAGATTAAGGGCAGCGTTCTTCAACCACCGCAACTCTGATGTCAACAAGTCCACTCTCCCAATCGCATGGTACACGAAGTACTTGAAGTGGAAAGGTGCGTCCCTATACAATGCCGCGGTGGCCTCCGCCGAGTCTTTTAGGAACCCTCCTGACATATTCCAAAGGGATTCTATCCCTCTCCTCATCCCATTCGGCTGCCTTCACACCGAACATTTTCTCCAACCCTTCGTAGTCGATGAAGTTCTCGTCCTTCCATTCTTTCCCCTCTTTGTTTTCCGATTTGAAGACGATGTAGTTGAACAGACGCATCATGTATCTTTCCCGCTGCATGATGTCGAGGAGGTTGCTCATGTTCAACTTCCCTGAAGAAACCAGTCGGGTAGTGGCGATGACCTTCTTATCTATCATCAACCGCAATGCAATTTCCTTCTCTCGACTCGTCATATCTCCAAAACATTTGAAGTTTGATGGAATGAGATCTTTGAAGGACACGGTAACGTTTGGTCCCCCGTCCTTAGCCGCTATGCAATGGAACAGTTCCTTCTTCCCCTGCACCTCTTCAGTGTATTGGCCCGGCACCCGGCCTTCCTGCTTTCCGGGCAAGTCCTTTGGGCATTTGTTGTCGTGCAGCGGCAACTTCCCCGCCTCATACTTCTAAAAAAACTCCTTAACCAGTGTCCATACCGGGTCCTTGCATGTGGCGACATTCATGTACCCCCTCATTCTGTTCGTCCAGTCCTGCTGCCACTTCCCAGAGATACACTCGGTCCACAATGCTTTCACACACGACTTCCCCATGCACGACCTCAAAAATTCCCTCCATGTTTTCTGGTGCTCCAAGCCTTTGGGATCCCCTTTGGACATGTTCCCCACAGACCCGATCCATTTCTTGCTGTCCCAAAATCCTCTGATGTCCACGCAGGCTTGGTGGAACGATGGCAACATAGCACGGTCACCTCGCGTGTTGTCATATGTGGAAACATAATGGTACCCGTTCGTATGGTCATCGTCAAAATAAATGATCCGTACACGATCATAATTCCGAAAGTCAAACACCTCCACCGCTGCAGAGTTCTTCGCCACCGCTCTTTTCATAGCTTCGGAAGAATGTTGACCGGCAACCGGGTAATAGAAAAACTCATCTGCCTGTTCGGGGTCGAAATCCTCTGGAAGGACGCGGGTTCTTTGTTCGTCCGCGTCCTTTGATGGATTAATCGGAGCCAGCACCAACTCCGGTGGATCCCACGGAGCCGGATCATCCATGGACTGTGGGCGAGTTGATGCTTCGATTGCCGCTTCGATGCCTGCGACGATGGCCGGGTTCAGGGCTCGCTGGTTGAAGGTGATCTCTCCCACCGGAATCGGAAGAATCTGCATGACGTCAATGACCACCCTAGGCGGGTCCTTTCTCTTTTTGCCGTCCTCGTCGTACTCGAGGAAGAAGCACTG